GCCTATCTATCCTGTAGTTGGTTCCGACAAATAAGCAGCTTTTTGGTGTGAAAGAGGCGTTTTCAAAATTTCAGAATTCTATTGGAAAAACTGAGGGATAGTATACATACTATATGTCATTGCGTTTAGGATCTTCTTGCTGTTATAAAATTCATGGCATACTTAATATACCCTATAGGCTTGTTTCTAACAATGGCCTCCGGGTTCAGTTCCACACACATCTGTTATCACATGCTTTCATCTAACCAGCAAAAGCACACAAATAAGAATTTCGCGCAAAAGTTCAAAATTAATAAAGGTGTATGATACAAATGCCGCGTAGCAAAAGCAGGTGAACGCGTTTTGTGAGCCTGCAGCAGCGAACAAGCATTCAGCTCTGGCCTCACCGCAACTCAAACAAATGCAGTGACATATTTGTTGCCATGATTTCGCTCCTATTTGCTTTTTCGTTGAATAGTCAGCAGATTGGCGGTGAGCATATGCAAAACATCGCAAAAGCACTATGAAAATTGTCCGTAAATTCCGGGTGGAAGCACAAAAATTCGCTGAAACTGTTTGCTCTAACAACAAACGATATGACTGAACAGACACATGTGTTTATGTGTATAGTATGTATTATATGTATAGTAGCTGAGGGTGTAAAAGTCAATTGCATATTCCACGAAAATTTGTACAATACCTCGCTTGGCTCATAGCTAGGTTGTCATATGAGCTGCGGCACCCACCATTTAAGAGAATTGGTCATTTTTCAAATGCATTTCATACAATTTATTATAATTTTTTTTCGGTTGCCTTCATTAGTGAACTATTACATAAAAATACAGATTTTATATATGTATTTTCACTCACATTTATAACTATTTACTTACTAATTATTAATGATAATTTTTCTATTTTACTATTTCGCTATTTAACCAATTTACTAATTCCACATTTCTAGTTTTTGCACATAAACTTTACAGAGATAAATAAACATTTTTAAATAATTAATCCCGCACCATTTAGGAATTAGTGGCTCATTTTGCATATTTTACAAAGTACAATTAGTTTTAGTTATACAAAAAAAATACACTAGTGCTTTTTATTTATTTATGTCCTACAAATTACACATTTTAATGCTTAATATTTAATGCGGCAATTTGAATCCCCAACTTTGAGTGAAGATTTAGTTACATGTGGGGCACTGCCTCACTCCGTTATTTATGTCCGATCACTGATGAGACTAGGTTCGCGATAACGAATGGGAGATGTGAGCGCGTTTCCTTTGTTCCCCGAGTACAATTCCTGCAAATACATAAGGGTAGACAAAAAGTAGTAAAAATAACTTACTTTGATATATTTCGAAATATATTAAATTATATAAGTAATTCGACGAAGCTTTGTATTGTTATATACCTTTGCAAATAAAAACAGAATCGACCGAACTTGTATGTCAAGATTTGCAATCCTATTTTCATGAAAGGTGGATGCACTTAGCATTATAAAAGACTTCATGGAATATCAAAAATTCAAAGCTAAGGCTAGTGATGGTTCCTATTTTATCAGGATTAGTATGTTCCATAATCTTACTCGAAGCTAGATCGTTCGAGGAGCAGCTTCTTAAAAGGGAAGGAGTACATAACTGTGCTGCTGTTTTCAAGTACACTAAGACGCTTTCCTGCAAATAGAAGTTGATGAGCAGTTGGTGCTTGAGCTTGTTTGAAAGTTGAAGTACTTCAACGATTTTACTTGAAAACTTTATTATGTTTTCCAAAATTCTTAACTTCCACTAGATGACTAGAATTTTTAAAGTTTTGCCTAAAATCGGACATTTCAAAATAAATGCAAAACTTATTGTAACAAGAAGAGAAAATTTTCTTTCAAATATATATTTATAACTCCCACCATCCTAGTACCTATATACAAGTAAATACTTGTATGAGTACAAAGGCAGCAAAGTGTACAACATGACGTATACGTGATTTTTACATGACAAAGAAAATCAATTTGCTTTTCAGTTGCTCCACGGTAAATAGATTCTTTAAGAAATTACTTCCTTGCAACTGCAACTGTGTAGAACGTAGCACGTGAGTGTAAGAAGCCAATATTCAATCGGAGAATAAATTGCACACAAATTGCTTACTTGCAAGCCGTTGAGAACGCAAGAGCCGAGTGAAGAAAATTAAATAAATTTGTAAAATTCGTAGACTAATATATATTATAATATTTTCTCATACAATGACTTCAGAAAAGGCAAGTAAAATATTTCCAATGCATAAAAGAGACAAAGGCTTCGAAGTAAAACGAGAGAAATTGAGTTTGTTATCAATATTTTTACTTACAGTCTGCTTGTAAAGCAATTATATGTAAATATGGCATGTATAAGAATACTGGCATACATATCACAAGCATATAATTCTCTATAAAGGATACCTTAATATATATTTTTGAGTTAATGAGAAAGTTTTTCTATAGGCATTGGAAATAACCGCTAATTTTCCTGCAATAATATGAAGGTATCAGCTACGCTTTGGTGTGAGTATGTATCTCATGCAGGAAAATATTTAGAAAAACAATTTTACCAGGAAGTAGTTTCTAAAAGCTTGAACTAGAGTTATATTGTACCGTTGGCAAACTATATCCGCTAAAATTATGATTTTATAAAGGGTGTCCCAAAACTAAAACAAACTTTAAATACGCCGTTGTTTGTGTAGTAAAGTGTTGACACCCAAAGTAAACAAATAAGGAAGGACAAAGTTTGTGTGCAACTGAACATTTTATACTCTTGCAATTTGCACGAATAAGCTGACAATTTAAACTTAGTAAAAATGGAGTATTTTTCCTATTGAACAATATTTCAAAAATAACGAAAATTTCAAAAATTTTACATAAAGTATGGTTGGAGTAGTGTTTAAATTTCATCAACTGTGAAAATTTGCCACATTTCAGCAAATTTAAATTTTGCATTAATTTTGGCACATACTGCAAAAATACGTTGGACTCAATCCAGTGTACACACCTGTTAAAGAAATAGCTAACAGCACACAAAACCTTGTACATATACGAATTTGGGAAAAGTCTGTTACTACAGACGTATGCCGAAGGTTCAAATTGGCAAACTTTGAGGTGAAACCTAATAAAAAGGATTTTTTTCGGTAAAAAAATAATCAGAGAATTGGTCGTAAGCTATTTACATTGCATTTAAACCACAAGTAATTTTATTAATTTTCTGCTCTGTATTTAAGTACAGAATTCACAAATTTACTACACAAGAAAAGCAATGTAATCAATCAATCAAATATCAAGTGAAAGTCATCTTGTTGATAAAGCACCAATACCATCAATAGAAATAGTAATAATAACTGTTTCCTGCTTGACAAATTACATCTGAGTCAATAGAATCAAAGTTGTGCTTTTGGCACAAACTCTTATCGGATTATTATAAGTTGCTTAAGCAATGGCCTTGTGATTATGATTACACAAATACACATACACATGAAGTAGCAAATTACATTAAATTACATATTCATTACAATTAATAATATCATTTATTTAGTATAAACACTTCACAGGTGCTTTTTATAGAATAAAAGGGTATACAACTATCTTTTTCTTGATTTTATTAGATCAGTTTAAATGGCAGCTACGTGCTATAGTTGTCCGATCGGAACAATTTCTTCGGACATTATCGTGAAGCCTTGAATAATAATTTATATCAAATTTCGTAATGATACTTTATTATATTATAAAAAAAAAAGTTTTCTATACGAGGACTTGAGTTGAACCAGTCAGTTCTGGTAATCATAGTAAAATTAATTGAGCTGTTAATACAACTGGCAAATATATGCTGTAGTGATCTTAAGTAAAAGTGCGTTTGCAAATTTTCCGATCGATAACTGAGGGACTAACTCGCGTGTATATAGACAGACAGGCGCACATGGCTAAATACTATATATACTATAGATTCTCAACGTTACTTTTTAGGTGTTGCAAACATCGTGGCAACCTTGAGAGTATAAAAAGGAATTTAAAGTAAAATGCGAATCATTACTAGGGATTGCATAGGAACGATATTTAATTATTGAAAACACAAATGGCTAAGCTAAGCTAATACATTTCTCAAACTTTTAATCAAGCAGCCTACATGTTCATATATACAAATTATTATAGCCGTTATTATAATTCCGTTAGCTTTCTAACTGTGCCTTAAGTCATTACAAATTCTATAATGATCGCTTTATNCTTAAGTCATTACAAATTCTATAATGATCGCTTTATAGCCTACCATCGGACGACAGTGCTCGCTACGATTCACCAACACAACTTTACAACATGCGATGGTCGCACATGACACAATGTCAACAGCCAGCAAACACATTTTAAATGACTCAGCAAGGGAGGGAATGATGACCAAAAGCACAGCCGTGACGTGACATTTACTCATCCACTTACGAATTGCTGTGTCACTTTATCCGAACCCATACTTAGTGGCAACAACAACAGCAACGGAAGGTAAATTCCAGCAGGTAAACCGATTCCATTATCCGCAATGAGGTAAGCGGACACATCTCACATTACACTTGTGTACGCAGCTTCCCTCGGTATCGTTTGCGGTGCGGCCGCTGGTTAATACAGCATGGAGAGTTACAAATTCAGATACACTCATGCTCCTGATGAAATACCAGAGAGCACTGACAATGCTGCAGAGGTAACATATAGTATAGACATAGTGGCCAACAGCATTATATATTTGGAAAAGGCAATAGGCCTAATAAGTGTAAATCTATAAAAATCTATAGAAAAAGAAATTATTTTATATTTTTTTGCTTTTAGTAAAATGCCCCCCTTAATATTGGACCCTGTAAGTGTCATACAATATCAAATTTTCCTGTAAAAAGCGCAATGGATCACCCTTTATTAAGTTCTATTTAATTCCGCACGTTAATTACGATTGGTATGGACGTCAAACACATTTAACACACATAGACACATACATAAGCATAGAAACACAGGCAAACTAGCTAGCATTGGCTTCGGTGCATACTCCACACAGTGAGTGGATTATATCCCACAGTGGTTGTCTTGCGGAACGGAYTCGAGAATGGCAGGTCGACATTTAGCAATTTTCCATTATACAAATCGACGACATAGCGTATATGCGAATTCGTCTCTGTGCACGAGTCGATTGCGTACAAATGGCCACAGACGATGAACATTTCGCCRAATTTGCGATGATCCAGGGTGATGTTGAAGTTGTACTGCATCTTCAGGGTATCCGCGTCGAGCTGAAATAAATTGCACAAAAACACAGATCATAATTAATTTTAATTCAGGTAAGAAGTAAGAAAGAGCTAGAATTGGGAATATATTTCCAGGTATCTTCTCGATAAATATATAATATGCCAAGGCATAGAGTGTGCTTAATCCATCTTTGAACCCTCTTAACAAGCTTTTCATTGAATTATAGTCAAACAGAGTAATATGTAGGAATTGGTTTATAAGAATGAATTAGACTTAAATGAAGCTTTCATCATATTTTTTTATATACAAAAGGTATTTAGAATTTCGCTGCTGATTTACTGATGTTTCTTTTACTCTTACACCTTTCTCTGCTTTCAGGCAATGCTAGATACACTTACTTTAAATGTCCCTACGAAACCATAATTCTATGCAACTAAACTTTTTCTCATAATTAATGTTTATACGAGTACTTCTTGTTAATATATAAGCCGAGCGCTGTTTGAGCTCATCTCGCCTACTCCTATCCACATGAGTGGCATTATTCTTTTTTTACTTTTTAGAAAAGTTTCTACCATCCGTTTATATTTTTCTAAGGAAAATGGAAAATTGCGCAGAAGATTGCCATTATGAAATTCACCGGCTTTTTGAGTGCACTTCCTTCCGAATGCTTTAGAGCGGATAATGGCATACTTCAGTCCTCTCGGCTCTTCGCCAGCAACTTTGATGCTTTTAGTTACAATCTCACTTACTTTATTCATAYGTTGCTTTACTGCTTATTTTCCTTGGCTACAAATGACTAATATTATATTATGGCTAATGCAGAGAGTACCTATAGAGCAAGGCGAAATACTCCAAGCAGATAAGCGAACAAGGTAATACAAGAAGAATAGAAAARTATACAAGAATATGTGTGCAAGGACAACCAGTGTTATTGCAAGAAAGTGGAGCACTGAAGGGCTAACGTACTTGCATGAGGAAACTTGATGCAGTTCAATTAGAAGTGGAGGCATCTGGTAGATGGCGTTCTACTATTATTTCAGCATTATATAAATATGAGCTTCTCGAATACGGGGCGAAATGAAAAGCTTCAGAGGGATAATAGAAGCTGAAGCAGAACTTAAAGTAGAGCATGAGTACGTAAGAATCGCAAATGTACTGCTTGTGCCCAAATTTTCATTAAGCGCAGAAGAATATTTTTTTGTTAGTCTTACATTATGCGATTATATGATGATGCGCAACATCGCAAGATTCCATATTCGATGGCTGATGCAATGTCAATATGTATAGAAAATGGCACCAAGGAAAAAAAATATATATAGTACGATATATATATATACAAGTAAACAAGTACTGTAGTTTATGAAGTGATCCTGGCATTTCATAGAATGAATAGAAATACTTTATACCTGAGCACATGCTCCAAGTGGAGCGGATAATAAAAGCATATGTCACCTTGAGAAAGCGCGTCGTTCTRAAGAACATGCCACAAAACAAGCAGYGACACCTGTCSYYTWTAGTMGAACAAAGCATWAATGAAGTTAAATTGTCTTCTTAGCACAGAAWACTACAAGTGCGTGCGCATGAATTCCAAGTGGTGTCACGGCAAAGAAGTGACAATCAAAATGAATTTCACTAAGTGTGTGTATATGGAAATGTGACAGCAAGTAAGGGTCTATTAAAGATCAGCATACGTAAAGCAATAACCCATAAAGCCACAAAACTACTTCGACAGCCTTCAGCTTTCTGTTACCTTTAAGTAAGTTATATTCCAAACAGCAGCTGTTATTTCGAAGCGGGCGATGACAGGAACGTAAAGTATTCATCAGTCATATTCGAGACGAAACGTGACTGCTACTTCTGATCAGAAATTCGAATTCGTAGAGAAAAATATGCTAACAACTAATGATAGCGTCTTATGTAAGTCTTCTATATCCGTTAAGAAGTAAAAAAAGCATAAAATAAAAATCTCATCGTAGAAACAAGCCAATCTCACCAGTTGTTCTGACTGAAAACTGTCCCATAGGTTTATCCTACAAAATTCAACTATTTAAAATTGGGAAATTACTTCATAAATTACTTCATAAAAACTGCTTACAAAATCTCTCAAGCCTTCAAACTCAAGTAAATAAAGCGATACGCTCGTATAACACCTTTACTAGTATTTCCTTAATATCTACTTTATGTTCGCTGGGATTTCTCAAATGGAGGTGTCATTGTAAATACTCACACGTACAAACCTCTAAAGGTAAACATATAAGTTTGCACGAAAACTCACCTTGGCCACCAGCGTATTGTTTGAGTCGTAAGTGCTGTAGATCACCCAAAGGCCAACCTCATCCACGTTGAAGTCCATGTAATTGTGGTCTGTCGAATACAATCTGTTGCCAACAGCTGTGCCAGCATATGGCAATGGAGTAACTTTAATGGCAGTACAAACAAAGAAAGTACAATGAGAGGACAAGATAAATGAATAAATGCATTCAAGAATAAAATTTTCGTATGAATATACACAAATACAAATACAAGCTGAATGCAAGGCAATATATACTGCATACATGTGTATACAGAATTTTACTATACCACTTCAGTGGACGATTACTTTATTGAAAATGAAAATTTAACCAACTTCATTGGTTAGTTAGAGTTAGAGAAATGTTTTGTGAATGATTTCGAAATTTAAAATAAAAAAAGTATAGTAAACCGTTTAATTTATCCTCTGAAACACTTCTACGAGTATGTTTCATTTATTTATAAGAATGGTTAGGTTAGGTTAAACGGTCGATCCTAACAGGTATCTGAACAGCTTATATCCGTTCCGTTGTGGTACCTAGAACTCCTATAAAATGGACCATACGACCCTCATAAATCGACAAAACGCCTTGAGCTGATCACATATTTTTTGAGGCGGCTAATGTCAATTTCGGCTAAGTCTCCTAATATTGCATTCTATATCGACCGGAACAAATGGCAGTCAAACGAGTCAAGGGATGAGCTACAAGGTAGGTGCAGAAAAACTTTCCTCCCACTGTTTTCAAATAATTTTTACTGGTGTCTATTTGGAAATTACGGGCGATTTGCTGAAAACGCTTGCCTCAATTTAATTAGTTGTTGGCGACAAAGTTCCCAATTTATTATTTAATACGTTCTTATAAGCTCATAATACAGTATGCCCTTCTAACCCAACCAATTAGGGAGCATTAACTTGGCGTCATAGATATTCTTTTACGTTTACCAACAAGCTTCATCCAGTAATGCATTTGTTCCTCATATTCAAACTTTTTTGATTGCTCGAGACGTATTTCGTCTTCCAGCCACTTTTGAATGGTGTAAATCATTTTTACAAAAAGGAAGACCCCACAATCTGCTCCACCTACCGTGGGATAAGACTCCTCAACATCGCGTATAAGGCTCTATCGAGCGTATTTTGTAAAATATTAAGGCCCACCGTCAACAAACTAATTGGACCTTATGCCGCGATGTCTGAATTTGGTATCCCCGCAAAACTAATAAAGCTGTGTAAACTGACGTTGAACAACACCAAAAGCTCAGTCAGAATCGGGAAGGACCTCTCCGAGCCGTTCGATACCAAACGAGGTTTCGGACAAGGCGACTCCCTTTCGTATGGCTTCTTCAACCTATTTCTGGAAAAATAATTCGAGCTGCAGAACTAAACAGAAAATTACCATCTTCTACAAGAGTGTGCAACTGCTGGCATATCATTGGCCTTAACAACCGCGCCGTTAGTTCTGCTATCTCCAGATTGGATAAGGCAGCGTAGCAAATGAGTCTGGTGGTCTCGAAATCCAACGAAGAATATCTCTTGCCAACTGGTGCTGCTTTGGACTGAGTAGAAAAGTGAGAAGTAAAGTAAAGTAAAGTAAAGGCGAATATAGCATCAATGGAAGCGGTTTCTACGCCAGTAAATAAGTAAGATCACTTTCGTCGCCGGTAAGCTAGAGCATGTTCATATTAAAGTCATAAAGAAGGACTCCCCGCAGAAATAAATTTTCATACACCAAGCTCGTCATAATTGTGTGAGAAAAAAATTCTATACATTGAAAAAACGCACAAAGACAGTAACTTTTCAACGCATTTTCCGAATATTGAAACAATCGAATAATGGAATAGTAATCAAGTTGCGTCATCTCTTGGCAGACCGCAAGACTATAGTTATAGCCCAATAGAACACAATCTTTTTTAAGGATTTCAGATTTTTAGTTAAGAACACCTTAAAATTAGGCTTATTGAATAAAAGTTGCTTATTTTATAGAGAGCTTTATAAGCAAATATGAGTAGTAAAGTTATCTATAAAAGTAATGAGCAGCACTTTACTTACTTATCTTCTTCATTGTTGCCAAATCCAATTTAACGACCAAATCCGTGTTTAATTGATTGTAGTAGAATGAACCATTATAAACAACATGTGCATTGCCCTGTAAATAAATATGATAAACCAAAAAAAATTTGAATATAAAGAGCACGAGAGATTACTTCATTTTCAACCCTTCCAAAGCTGGGGTAGTAATCGATTACTGACAATTAAAGACAAAACAATGCTAAATTCAGTTAAGAAAGCTCGGTAAAATGCGGCGCTTTCATTCAGAATGCGAGTTTGATTCATATTAGAAAGCGGTCATTAACTATTTGCAATAATTTTCTTGTACATATAATAACCTATAGTTTAGTTCCAATAACTTAGTTCCACTTATACTTAGACTAAGTAAGTTTATAGTAAATTTGCAAAGGCAAAATCCTAACTAACTCCCGATTGCTTAACACTTTCGATGTGAAAGTTAAGGGTTTAGTTCACCAACATTTAACTCCAACTCTTTCATTTCCACTTCTCGTGTTCATTCTCTGTTGTCTACCTAGGTATATGTACATAGATAGTCAGTAGGGTAAAGAATAGCTTGGACTCATATTGCTTGTGATTGTCGCTGAGATTGTTGATGCTACAAAGTGATTGAAGTTAGCACTCAACCATATCGTAAACACCAAAGTGTTTGCAAATATTTACAGCCTCTCGACCACACTCACACAAGTACAGATTTACACAGTAAGAAAAACAAAATATTTTTTCAACAGAAAAGTTTTACGAGGAAAAGTTCCTGTTGTGTTTGAAAGTAAGGTAGCAATGCATTTACAGCGAGTCATGCAATCGCAAGCGTTCACGCTCCTGAAAGCCAATTTACAAGTGTATTAGTATGTGTATATAGTATTTGTCTGTAGGAATACGTCAACCAGAGGAATTAAAACTTTTCTGAAAAATATTTCTCTCAGGTGGCATTTAAGGTTTTGCTCTCCTTTGAGATGAGAGGTAAATTTGACCATTTTAAAAATATAACATTCTGTGAAGACTCATAAGAATTTAAGGCCTTAAAATGGAAACAGAATATATTCGGCATTTTACTGGTGTTGAATTTAGCAAATCGGATGGAATATACCTAAATAGTATTTACTTTGGTTAATGTTATCATAGGGTCGAGAAAAGTTTAACTCATAACCCACGAAAAATTATACAAAAACAAAAAAAAAGAATAGATTCAGTTGCACTTGTTATGTTCTTAACAAATTATAAAAACTTTTCCATGTGAGCTACATGTATTCTATGGTAATATGATCTGAAGTATAATGAGGTGCCCGCTCTGGATGATCGGGCCAGAACCATGCATTGCAGTGGGTAACCCCTCTATAAAGGAGATGCTCTGCAGGGAGCAGAGAGTGGGGAAACAGCAGCCTTGGCAGCGGGTAGTTGAAATGCGCCATGCCAAGGTACTGCTGGGAGGGTACAACCTAGCAAGATTTAAGGAAGTGATCCACCTCATTGTCGCGCTCTATACAGGGCTTTGCAGACTCGAGAAGGACTTGTTCAACTTTGGCATAGTCTCTTGCCCAAACTTCCGATTTAGCGACATGTTACAGGAAACTCCAGAACACTTGATTCTGGATTGACTATCAATTTGTAGAAGCAGGCTCAAGGCCCTAGGTTCCAACTATGTGGACAGGTATCACATCACCTCAGTCGCACCCAGCAGGATCGTGCAATGGTTCAGGGACCATATGTCATGTAAGGAAGAGCACAATAGACCATAGAACCGCAGTACAAACCCTCAATTTTACTATCTATATATCTATCTGAGCAATAAAGTCGGAAATTGTAACGCCGTCTCTAACAATTATCCATGCCGAATTTAGATCGATATCGCAAAAACTGAGGAATAAAGTAAATATGCAGACAAGCGGGCAGGTAGAAGAACATACCTAAATCGGCTCAGTTTGCCATAACTTATATATATTGTTCATACAATCTCTGACATTTTTTTCTGAGTGCTAAAAACTTACTGATAAACTTTTACGTTACAAAAACCACAGAAACAACAACTACTTACTTGAAAACCCTCTGGAATGTTATACTTCCGACGTGGCGACCAATTCATGCGGTACTTCAACTTCGTAGGATATTCATACAAATTATGCGTGTCATTCTCTTCGGTAACGTAGGTCTTTTCATGATCAACATCCGCCGAACTAACCGGATCCTTCAACCAGCAGCCATAAATCTCATTAACTGCCTTATGGAATACCGGTTTGCCAACTGCGTACAACAACCAACCTAATGAAAAAGAAAGAGAGTGGGAATAAAAATAGCGAGCGTAATTTCGTAATTTATTTAAAAAAAAGCTGAAATTTCACATCTAACTAAACTTAAACAAATTTTAATTCGTATATGGGAATCAAAAATCTGCACTTACTCTTTTGTCTCTTCGGCAGTCCAGGGTAGCTATAATTTCCGGTGGGCTGAATTTCGAAGTTCGAATTAATCGAGTCCTTACACTGGTACAGGCTGTCAAGAGAATAAAAGTAATTATCCGCAATAAGTGCGAGGTTATGAATATTTAATGGACTCATGAATGGAAAAGTGCGCTGAGGCTTTATTAAGTCGCTTTGAGTGGGTGTGGGTGAGAGATGATTTTTTCATTAAGCAAAATACAAACGGAAGCCAATGGAAGTGGACAATAAACGCAAATAATAAAAGGAAGAGCAAAATGAATATAAACAAAAGATAATTTGTGGAAAATCTGCGCTAACGGTAAATTTAATTTACATTTGGAGGAGCAGTGCTCAGCGACCAGCTAGGCGTGCGCTAAAAGTTATGACACCTGTGAGCAAAAACGGGTGGACGAAGAAAAAAGATAAGGGTCCTAGTGCAAAATGACCGAGTTTAAGCTGCTTTTGTTGTTCTATAATTGCGGGGACTTTATACTTCAAAGCGCTAATGCTGTATGCATATCCCATATATATAATTATGTTTATGTGACCACCATGACAGATGGCATAAGTAAAAGTTTAACCAAATGCAACTGCATAAATTTTAATTATATTCCTAACAGTTTCTAGCAACCGTTAGAAAGTAGTGCAGCAGCGGTATGTCATAA